TTATTTCCCCCAGTTTAGCATTAACATAAAAATAAAAAGAAAGGCGTCAAAACCTTCTTTTGCAGTGCCCTTATATAAATAGACTTCTGCTGACCATCCACCTTTTAGACCATCATGCGAAGATCTGAAAAGTTTAAACAGAGTGACTTATTTTGACCTTATTCTAAACGCGGATATACAGTGAACAAGCCTTGTCAGTCCACTTTCTCATTTGAACATCGTACTCAAGTCATTTCTGTGCAATGGAGAAGAGAATAACCATTACACTTTATACGTCGGTACATTCGACTAGAAACCAGCAACTTCAAATGCTTCTGTTTTAGTAAGTGTTTTACGGCACTTGAAACAAAATAAGGTCATTTAAATGCAGAAGATTAGAGGTGTTACAAGAGAGTAACAGACACAAAAAAGATGGAGCAGAGAAAAGGGCGATAGATTTTACTTGATGGGAAAGAAGAAGCAAAACACACCAGAGCATCCGCCAACCACCCACTTCAAAGGCTTTCTAAAGAGGAAGTGCACTTGGACCAGACCTACTACATTAATTTGATCTGAGTACGGTCTGACAGAAGACCAGGTAGAGGAGACAGTTGGAAGCCAATCAATCATTTACGAAGCCGGAAATACAGCATATAAATAACCCTTGACCTTTGACACAAAAGCAAAATGCCTCGATGTGAGTAGTATCTTAAGTTATGTGATCCCAAATACGAGGTGCCCACTACAGCTGGATCGGGCCGATCGCCTGAAGCTGAAAACAAACACGTTCGTTTTAGAGGCGATCGAGTCGGGCGATCGGCCCGATCGGCCGACCCCATCCGTAGGGGGCACCCCGTAATATGTATATCGATTTTCATAATGTAATAGAGTCATGAAAGTTATTTGAAATGACCTATTTTAAAAAGACATTTGTTGCCTCTGACTGAAATTCCATACTCTGCACTACTTACAATGGATCTGGCAGTCTCGGTTACTGTGGATCAAATTCAAAATGTATTCCTGACAGACAGTAAACTGTTCGAGCGCCACGACTCAGCATTGCACGAACCAAGCTAGCCTAAATATCTGTGTATCACAAGTATTTTTGGGGGGGAGTTTTACCTTTCGATCTAGCAAGAGTTCTGCGGCACTTGAAAAATATAACTATCGGTATGGAAGATTGGCTAGGTGCTACTAAAGAGTAACTTACAAAGTACAAAGAAAAGACGGAGGAGAGAAAAGGGCGATTGATGTTTGTTAGAAAAGAAGGAGCTAACAACTCGACATCCACCCACGTTCATAAGAGAAAGAATCAGACAGTCATTAAGGAAAATAAGAAACAAGGCTTTCAACATAGTTTTGGCTTTTGTGCTTACCAAGGCCAAACTTGGTTCCAGTTCAGGGAAAATCTGCCACATCGCCCAAAGATAAATCAGACAATCAAGTTCTCTACAAAAGAGACACTGGACACACGGGCACCCGAGAGCCCCC